CTGTCCTTGTAGGGACTCTCCATAGGCGTAATGGTTTTTATACTGTACAAACTGTATTTTCTATCGCCCTACACCTAAACCTACCCCTCACAGAAAACTTTGTGCATTTATACAATCTCAAAAAAACTCATTCTGTATGATTTATAAGCTTCTGTACCCATGGGGACCTCAATTTAGGTCCCCACGGTGACACAAGTCCCCATGAGTTGGTGTGTATTCAGGTTTAAGTCCCCACTAGTGTAGACTCTACACTGTACTGTACACACACACCTTATAAACATCAAGCAGCTCCAAAGTCTCTCAGTCTATTGTGCATCAATGCAGGCGTTTATTAATCAGGATCCACAGGCGTTTATTAATCAGGATCCATTAGCATATGGCTGCAGTGATTGGCTAATAAACAGATGGCGTATACAGATCAATGAGCAGCTAATTAAGGAGGGACCAGGACTAAACAAGTGAAGTTGAGGCATATTAAGAAAAGTAAACGAAAAGAATTATAAACAAATGACAAAATAAACTTCAATACAGTGACAAAGACAGAATCTTTAAGGGTATGAATATTTATGCAACATATTTCAGATTTTCCTTTTGAATGAATTTGCAAAGTTGACACAAATCTTTTTTTTTTGTTTTGTCATTATGGTGTATGGAGTGTAGACTGATGTGAAAAAAAGTAATTTAAAGCAGTTTAACATAAGGCAGCAACATAAAATGTGAAAAAAGAAATAAAGGGTTATGAATACTTTCGCAAGGCAGAAAGATAGATAGATAGATATCTTCAGTTATAACTGTGATAAACACTACATTTATTACATTTAATATTAGAAATACTTTACTGGTCAAATGTTTGGACACACTCACCTTCTAACAACAATAGTAAAGGTATAAAAACTGAAATAACATACTCGACTTAATATTGCATGGTCATGAGAACAATAAAATACCAACTTAAAATCTGTTGACCTACCTAAATAGAGTAATATAGAAAAGTATCCAAGTTCATACCAGTTCAGACAATATTACAATAACCATCTCAGTGAAACGAAAATAGCCATTATCGTCACGTGTGTATTAAAGCTACACAATGAAACATTTTGGTTAAAAAAATAGAAATGCATGCATCGTGCAGAAGAACGTTTGGCTCTGCTCCTCGGAAGAATGTGGTTCAATGCACCGTTGTACACTTGGATGATACGGTGAATGGACACATAAGTAAAGGTTTCTTTGTTTTTACAACTGGGAATTCGCAAAGGTTTGCGTTTCAATGATCCATGGTCAGTTTTTTCGTTTGTTGTGACAACAAACTTAGCGCTACACACAGCCGAGCTACTTTTCTTTGTGTACGGATATGACGTACACGCACGGCAGGGGCGCCATTACGGGGGTGCAGAGTATGCCAGGCATATGGGCCCAGGAAGCTAGGGGGCCCCAAATCACGATTTTGGATTTTTTTAAAAAGTGCGTCGTCTCTAATGGACAACCTTGCCAATTTGAACATTCAAGCGATTTTAACGCATTCAAGCACAAGAAGACGCGAGTAACAACTCCATTCAGTGTGTTGTTACTCAGACAGGCACGTCTCTGACAACACGTAAGCCCCGAATGGAGTTCATTTCCGCGTCTTCTTGCACTTGAACAGACAAATACAAAGTATGTCAAAATACCCATCTTGGCAAGTATCCTTGAAAACAGTCGGTTATGTCTTAAGTGAGAAAGAAATCAGATGTGTATCAATATATTAGACCCATGAATTGTGTTTAAAGTGACCGCGCCTAGCTGCTGTCAGTGTCCCTAATGTTAATTTTAAAAAATTATAATTATTATTATTAATTAAAAACGAGAAAATCACTTACTGCTCTTAGCTTTAACAAAGACTAATCTATGTTAATTTATACAGTGAATAATATGTAGTTATTTTACATTTGATTATTCAATTTCTGTACTTGAACAACTAAATCTAAAAACCCAAAGCATCTTTATTTTGCATCTTTATTTATTTGTGCTATTGCTTGTAATTTCTTAATTTGTTCTTATTTACTGACTGTTCACTTGTCTTTAATAATGTTTGAGCTTTGTTAGACTAAGTTAGGCTTAGGCTTAGTTAGGCTTTGTTAGGCTTAGGTTAGGTATTGAAATTGGAATTGAGAACTGTAAAATTTAACTGGTTTCTAAAATGTTGGTGTCATATAAACTTATTAGAATACAAGATAATTTTATATATTTCGTGCTGTCAAATCGATTAATCACGATTAATCGCATCCAAAATAAACGTTTTTGTTTGTCTCCACAGATTTTCAGCATACTGAAACAAAAGCCAGTTTGTTTCCAGACACAAATCTTACAACGTTCAAATGAAGATGGCATGCAGCCGTATGTGTTTACAGTGCATAAGCCGATGGTGCTTATGCAGGTTCCAACCTGTAAAAATCCTTTTAGTATAATTTATTTGCATCTGTCACGTGGTTTGACAATCTCATGCAATGAAACTCATGAGATTTTAGCGTCCAAACACCCTTTTGGGACCACTAGTGTATCATAGCATGGAAAGCCTGAATGTTTGTTGTAGATGTAAAGGGTTGGTGAGCGATGATTGGTGATTGTTGAGTATTGCAGCAGAGATGTTAAGTTTAAAAAAATAAAAGACAGGTCAGGTTTTTTAATGCCATAAGTTATAATGCTTTGTGTTTACATGCACTAATTTTGGTCATTCTGAATGAATCCAATCCGATTTCAGATTCTGCTTTATGTGAACCCTAAATTTTGCAGTCCAATTCACAAATTCATTTACATGTGAATTACGTGTATTCCAGACAAAACATCAGCGCATGCGCAGTACCTAGTCACTGCATTCGTTTTTTGCCTCAATGGCATATCTGAAAATAAATCTGACGCTTATGTCATAAGAGCTGTTTCACAAATGTTTCACAAATATTAAATCTCCTCAATCAGTACATGTGACGTAAATAGACGTTCGTAAAACATATGCAGGCATCAAATATCTTATTATAAATGGGCTCTGGTAAGCATATGCATCAAGGCACTGCACGTGTGCAACATATTTTTAAATCAGATTATTTCAGGTTTACACCACCCTTTTCAATCCGATCGATATTTCATTTGGATTGAGCTCAGTCTGATTGATTGAGGCTCCTGCATTAAGACTTTTCAATTCAACTGAGCCATCAATCAGTTATTAACTAATTATTTGGTTGCTTGTAAACGTAGCATGTTCCGGCTTCTCTTTTGTCCCATGGTTTCAGGCTGTCTGATAACTGTGTGGATGATGCAATAATAAATGGAGTTTGTTTACTGTGAAGGTCAGAAAGTATTTCCATTCACAAGTCAAAATATCTTGAGCTTGTGTTAAACACAGACCTTATTTCAGGCATTTAAGCAAAAACCCATTGACTTCAGGATGGTGGAAGTGGAAGTGATAAAACACGGACTCAAAAATGCATCCCTGCAGCACTCTACTGAACAACAGATGAACAACAAACAGGTGTGACTACACTTCTAATAAAATCTTTGGAGTGTGTTTCAGTGGTTCGAATTAGCTTTTTCAAATCAACTTTCCGGAAACATTTGCACCAGCTTTTAAACAACTTCAAACTGCCATTGGTTTTAACAGTACACTCTAAAAAATGCTGGGTTAAATACAACCCAGTGCTGGGTAAAATAGGGACAAACCCAGCAATTGGGCTGTTTTGACCCAGCGGTTGGGTTAAATGTTTAACCCAACCTTCTGGGTAGTAACCCAACCACTGGGTCAAAACAACCCAATTGCTGGGTTTGTTCCTATTTTACCCAGCACTGGGTTGTATTTAACCCAGCATTTTTTAGAGTGTATGGTTGATGACATGATGTGTGCTAACAGCATACCGCTGCTTAGGTATTTCAAACTTCTTTTTTTTACCCTTTAGCAAAGAATGTTTGCGTCCTGAGATACTTCAGCCTGCACTTGTGCATTGGCTGTAACCACCTGAAAAATATGCTTTTTTAACACTATTTAAGCAAAAAGAGACAGTTCGTGTCTGATTTTATTGCTGACTTGAAACGTGTAATTAAAATGTGGGTTTGGCAAGATTTCTGTATTTCCCCATTCAAGTAGATAGGAGTTGGTCTTACATGACCTGAAATAGCTGCCTGGAAGCATTGAGTGAACTGACTTTCCTCAGAAGGGATTCTAGTGGAAGCCACCACAGTAACCGTTAATCCTTCAACAATTACCCTCACACACCTGTATAGGTGATCGATAGGATAAATGACCAAAAACAGGTCAAACATCAAAGCAAAAATTAATAAATCCAGCATACTGTCCGTATTTGCAAATGTATCACAAATAGATTTATTCACAACTTTCGGTCCTATGACCTTCATCAGATATGCCTGATGAAGGTCACAGAACTGAAACGTTGTGAATGATGCCTGATGAAGGTACTAACAGTTGGAATAAGTACTAATATCTAATAAATAACAACTAGTATCTGATGAATAAGTACTAGTATCTTTTAAAATGGTCTGAGTAGCTAAAGAATAAGCACTGATACCTGATGTAATGCTACAGGACCCAATCCACAATTGGGGTTGCATGAGAGTGGTCAAAAGTTAACCAACCTAATATCATAATAGCATTGGATTGTCATATCAAACATGGACCATTTGCATTGATAATGATGCATTAAATGATTTTAAGTGGGACTGTCAGATCAAGCATGGATCATATAGAGAACATAATGTATCTTATATCAGTAAATATTTATTAAAACTCGTGAGTTCCCAGACCTGCCATTTTAAATCAATAGTTCATTTATGGTGATCTTAAATTTGTCAAAGTTTTATTACATATAATTCAAACCTAATTCCTAATGTCATGACCAGTTATAGTAGCCAATATGAATATATTTCTATATACAAACAGGGAAAAAAGAACACAATGACATCCAAAGCCATAATAGAAAACATTTTATTGGTAAAAAGAGAGTGAGAGAGAGAGAGAGAGAGAGAGAATGCATGTAAACGAGGCTAGTTTCTCTGTACCACACCAGCCAAAATTGCGATCCCTCTGTTTAAGGAAAGAAGAGAATGTGAAAGAAGACGGACAATAAGCGTTTAATAATGCATTAGTATTGGCCAAAATAAATGGCACTGCAGCAACCACTTTCCTTGTAGCCGGTCCCCATAGTTTTTCTGTACTACACTTGGGAAACACAGAGCGCTAGAGAAGAGAAGTTACTCGACATACAGCATAAGAGCTGACCTGCAGACTACAGATTCCAATACGTGTGCATAGAGGACAGCACGAATAAATAACACACAAGGTGTAAAAGTACTAAAACAGTTAGGAATGCTTATGATACAATGGTGAAGACCTTGATAATGCTGCATAAAATGAAATCCGTAATCAATACTGGCCAACCAGTTTACAATTCCTACGATTGAAATTTGTGCGTCAATTAGTGTAGTACACTTCCTTCACCATAATGCTGATGAATCATAATCGCATTTAAAACTCAAAAAAGACTAAGAAGTGAAATGGGTGATGCAATATGGTTGGAAAATGAGAGGAAAAAGACTTAAAGGGGTCATATGATGCGATTTAAATTAAAAATCGACGCTTTTCAGAAAGGCGGGGCATAGAGGAGCAACAATAATGTACATTATATGGAAAATAATGTGTTTTTTTAACCTTTAACCGCATAAACACATTGCATTACACCAAATAATGTTCTTTTTAGCAATGTCATATGACCCCTTTAAATAAGACGGACCCAGCAAGACTTGTACCAGAATAACCAGACTTCTCCCCGTAAGCCATGTGGGCTTCTCTGTAGAATACGCCAACAGGTCTAGAGAGGAAAAACCTTGACAAAACGTTTAGTAGTGCAGCTTTTTGGGCACTTCCCAAGGGAACAATTCACGGCCAAAGTGGCCGTAAGCAGCGGTCTTCTGATAAATTGGCTTCTTCAGCTCCAGCTCCCTAGAACACATCGGCCGTGGATTACTGACTCGTTAAAATAGAACAGCATGCATTTAAAAGATTATCATGTGGACGATACTTCAAGTGCGCACCCAGCCAGCCAGAGAAGAGATGAAGCGGTCACTTACTGTCACACTCACTAGTCAGCCTGAAGAAGGAAACTGCAGCATGAAATAGAGAGCAAGTCTGATAGCAAACACTAGCTAGGCACTTGAACCTGTCCAAACATGATGGCTCTGTTCCAAACCTGCAGCTACCTTCTAAGGCAGCATCCTAAGCAGCATAGAAGCTCGTAAGTGACTGATTTGAAACACTCTTCCCAGGTTTATGCTCACTCATGCGTGTCACACAAGTAGGGATGTGAAGTGCACTGTGGAATTTGTGTTGAAAAACTACATTACTCATGGTGCTCTACAGAATAAACCAACAAATCGGAGAGTTGCAGAAAGCATGTCTCTACAGGGATGTTATAATGCAAACGTTTTCAAGGGATGTAAAAAGTTAGGGCTAAAATAAAATAAAAATACCCATCTTTCTACATTATCAGTTACCTGACTGCTTTTTACAGACAGCACACACTTTGCAGTACTTTATGTGTGTGTGTGTGTGTGTGTGTGTGTGTGTGTGTGTGTGTAAATGGTCAACTTCTTGGTCAAAATACCTGTTTTGGTATTAATGTACACACACGGTTTTAATTACTTTATGTAATAATCATGCAGAGGAAACTATGACAATAAATAATTAGTTTTAGTTTTACATTATTACTTTTCAATTTCTGAATGTTTAATACTTGAGGGAAGTAGTGTAGTTCACTATATATTTGAAGAGTTCATTTGCAAAAACAGATAACTCAATTTTTTAACAATTTTCAAAAATGATGTTTTTTCATTGTGCATTTTAATTAATCTCAATCAAACTGCAGTTGAGTTATTTTGATTAAGTTAAAAAATGACTAAAAAATACAGCTAACAAACACAATAAAAACATGATAACAATAAAAAACATGATTTTTGAAAATTTTAAAAAATAACTGAGTTATCTGTTTTTGCAAATAAACTCTTCATTTGTTTTCGTGCCTTTTTATTTTATTATCAACTCTTATTGTACTGTACTGAATCTTGAATAATTATTTGGCAAAAGTTGACTGAGTTTGCTAGATCTATTATCGTCTGTCTGATGGAATCAGGAGATGCAAAAACCCAAAGAAAAGGGCAGCAAAGACAGAAGCAGAAGAAAAGTGAATGATTCACTTCCATCTGTGTTAAGCTGAAAGATGAAGGAATATGAGAGGCTTCGATCACAGGGTAATGTGTCAAGAGAGCAGCTGTTACCTCACAATGACTCCTGGACGAAGATCAAAGTTTTTCTTGACGATTTTAAGCAGCTCCTGCTCGCTCTTCTGAGATGTGCCATAGTGGAAGATGGAAATGGAAAGAGGATGGGCCACTCCGATGGCATAAGAAACCTGCATCATGGTGAAGGCAATATATCAATGAACTTCACATTCAAAGAATTATACTTTCTAAGCAGAATGCAAAATATCTGGCCAGCTTACCTGCACAAGAACACGCCTGCACAGTTTAGCCTTCACTAGAGATTTGGCCACCCAGCGGGCAGCGTACGCCGCAGAACGGTCCACTTTAGTGTAGTCCTTTCCAGAGAAAGCTCCTCCACCATGGGCTCCCCAGCCTCCATAGGTATCGACAATAATCTTACGACCAGTCAGGCCGGCATCACCCTAAGTGAATGGAAAATCATACGTGTTAAAAACATGATTAGTCTTTTTTTGGTCAAATTGAGCCTTCATTGGCTTCCATGCAATTTGCCAAAAGTTCACTCTATGAAAAACACTGAAGATTCAGGTCATGTATTGTAGCTTGTCAGATACTAAAAACAAATATATAAAATATGTGAGAAATCACAATTTCCATCTATTTCTACTGTATTTTTTGATTGCGTTAGGAGTCAATTTGACCCAAACTTTTTTTTTTTCAAATTTTTTCACTGTAAAACATGATTTTGCAAATTATTGGAGTAAGAGTTACATGAAAATACTATTTCTAATACTCTTTCTACTCTCTAAATGTTTAATTCTGTGCGTTACTTGCCATTTCTTTGTTATTATTTGTGAAATTTATTAGCAATTTCTGAGTGAAAATTGCTTCAAAGTAATACATTTTTCAGTGTTTCAGTGTACACAGTAATATAGATAAATAATATCTAACATTATTTGTGCCTAGTGTAAGTAGTATTTATTGCTATTTGTACTTAACATAAAATTTTTATGGCTGGTAAAATGGGTTCCCTTTCAATCGGTCACTGCGACATTGTGTCTCTTGGGAGCCCAGACACATCTGACATCATTGAGAAAAAGCCAATGAAATTGGCAACCAAAATTTGCATAGCTGGCCACACCCCGGACATCTGGGTAAAAGTAGGCCAGCGTGGCATTTGCTCACTCGTTCTGTTTTTCGGAGCCGAAATGCAATGGTGTACAGCTGGCCCAGGGGCCTTCGCAAACATGCGTTTCCCCCAGTGAGCCTTAATGCATAGACTCTGTGCAAAGTTAGGGAGGACAGGGAAACAAATCTTGTTGGTGTCTCCGCAATGGCCTAACAAGACTTGATCCTCGGAGCTCGTGTTGGCCTCAGCTCCTCTCTGGCAGATTCCCCTGAGGAGGGACCTTCTCTTCCAGGGGAAGGGCACGATCTTGCACCCGCGCCCAGATCTCTGGAACCTCCATGTCGGGTCCCTGGCCACGACCAGGAGGAATTCAGAGACCTTTCACCTGCTGTGGTGAATACCATAACTCAGGCCAGGACCCCCTCTACGAGGTGGCTTTACGGCCTGAAATGGCGCATTTTCGTAAATTGGTGTTCTTCCCATGGGAAGGATCCTTGGAGATGTGGCATTGGATCTGTGCTATCCTTCCTCCAAGAGGGCCTGGACAGGTACCTATCTGTTTCTACACTCAAGGTGTACGTGGCTGCTATTGCAGCAAACCACGACACTGTAGATGGCAGATCTGTGGGGAAGCACAATCTGGTTATCAGATTCCTTAGAGGCGCCCGGAGGTTGAAGAGCCGTGCCTCATCCCCTCTTTGTATCTCTCAGTGGTCCTTCAGGTCTTACATAGAGATCCGTTTGAGCCCCTTCAGTCAGTTGGACTTAGTGCCCTCTCTATGAAGACGGCCTTCCTGACTGTGCTCACCTCTATCAAGAGAGTGGGGGATCTTCAATTCGGGCCGGCTCCCACCACTCCTTTCAGAGATCAGGTGGTAACCTTGCAAGCTATCCCCCCACAGGAGGGGGACCCTGACCTGTCTCTGTTGTGCCCAGTGCGAGCCAGGCGCATCTATTTGGAACACACACAGAGCTTCAGACTGTCTGAACAGCTCTTTGTCTGCTTTGGAGGTCAGCAGAAAGGGAATGCTGTCTCCAAACAAAGGATCTCCCACTGGATTGTGGATGCAATCCTTATGGCCTATCAGGCCAGAGGCTTACCATGCCCACAGGGAGTGAGGGCGCACTCAACCAGGGGCATTGCTGCTTCTTCAGCTTTAGAAAATGGTGCCTAGCTAATGGACATTTGTAGAGCTGCAGGTTAGGATACACCTAATACATTTGCCAGGTTCTACAATCTGCAAATGTAACCGGTTTCATCCAGAGTTTTGAGCACCAGCTCTTGAACTCTGGTGGCTGGTAGGGTGTAGAACTTGCACTTAGCTCCTTCCCCTCTCTGAGTTGATTATATGCACTTATTGAGTCCAGTTAAGTTCCTTCTTATGAATCCTGGACCACCCTTCCATCACTCACGCACTCTTACGACACTGAGTTCAGCGGAGGAACTTGCTACAAGAATCCATTACTGGGAAGTGTTCCTCGAGTGAATTCTCGTATTGGGTTAGTGCCCCATATGTAGTGGCTCCCTCTGGTGGCCCCATATGTGTATTTTTCCACTGCCTAGTTCCTTAGGGTTCAGTGTCTCCCTTAGACAGACACTCAATCTGTCACTGGGTTCTGTGTTTGGTAGTTCTCCCCTTATGCGAAGCCCACTACAGAATCTTCCCTATGTGGTACTTCCTCCCGTAAGTCCATAGGTTGATCTTCAAATGTTACCTTCCCTTCTGGTGGGATGTGACCTCCATAGTGTCCTTTCCCCACTCGGGGGACAGACGCTTCTCCTCAGAATGAGAAAAGGCTCCGGCTGTGGTGACCTCCGCCTTATTGGCGGCTCTGCCGAATGTTGGAGAGCAAGGTCATAAGTCTTGGGCGTTGGAAGGTTACGAGGAGGAGAGGTGCATTTGGTCATGACACGCTGGGCTTGTCAACATCTGCGCCCCCATGGACTCATAACGCATTTCAGCAGCTGTGGCGTTTAGTATAGGGACCCCTAGTGCAGAACTTCGACACAACGTCGAAGTGACCGACTGAAAGGGAACGTCTCGGTTATGTATGGTAACCCTCATTCCCTGATGGAGGGAACAGAGATGTTGTGTCCCTTATGCCACAACTCTGAACTGCCTCTGAGTGGGTTGAGACGCTTCTCGACTCCTCAGAACAGAACGAGTGAGCAAATGCCACACTGGCCTATTTATACCCGGATGTCCGGGGCGTGGCCAGCTATGCAAATTTTGCTGGCCAATTTCATTGGCCTATTCTCAATGATGTCAGAGGTGTCTGGGTTCCCAAGAGCGACCCCTAGTGTCGACAACGTCTCCGCTCCCTCCTTTGAACCCTAAAGGCCCCGATATACTTCAATCAAAGTTATTTTTCGTTCTTCGTTTGAGGGCAAAAAGAAGTTCGAAAAGGCTAAGCGATGGTATACTGTTTTCGAACATTCCGACACCCCCGCGCTGCTGTAGACGGGGTTGTAAACATGCGTCACGCCGCCCGCGTGTACCCCCTAAACACAACAACGATGGCGGCTGTGAGAGAAGAACAGTTTCGTAAACATCTGGCAGTAGCATTGATCTATTCAATGGCAAAGGAAAAGAACAAGCGACGTAGATGGTATATGCGTCTATTTAACGGAAGCAGAAAGAATGATGGCGAGTTTGCCCTTTTTATTCAGCAAATGCGGAGCACAGATGAGGAAGTGCATTTTTCATACTTCAGAATGTGCGCCGCGCAGTTTGACGATCTCTTGAAAAGGGTATCGCCATATGTGAAACATGCAAAAACGCACAGGACACAGATTTCCACTACGGAGAGACTGGCCTTGACACTCCGAGTACTAGCTTGTCGGGCCACGCAACAAAGTGTGGCTGAAACATTCAAGATTGGACCGTGCTGAGCCCGCAAGATAGTCACGGAGATGTGTTCTCCTGTCTGGCCTCCGTGGAATGAGAAACGAACCGGGGAAAAAATAAATAAATAAAATCGCACGTCAAAGAAGGCGGAGTTCCAGAACACACCCACCGACTGCATAATCACCACGGACCAATGGTAGCTCAAAGGTGTTTAGGAGGCAAAACGAACTCCCCCAAAAAAGTTTGCTTTGGTGAGCTGTTTCGAACTGCCAAAACGAACTCAAAACGAACTTTGTTTCGGCCTGATTTTTTTCTAAATGACGTCATTTCAGTTCGTGCTTCGATTTCGTTTGAAGTATATCGGGGCCTTAACACAATCGATGTAACTAACATTTGTAGAGATTTGCCAAAACACATCTATGTGTCGAAACTTTGCATGCACATATAGAACCCTAAATATTCACAAAATTTCAAGAAGAAATATAAAGTATAAACAGTATTTCAAGCAGTTTAAAATCGAATTCAGGTCAAACTGACATAAACACAATATTTGATTTCATATTTGATTCTTTCGTGCTATGTGTAGTCAATTCTGTTCCATCTGAAAGCACGTGATGATGATTTCCTGCTGATTACAGAACCGACATTACTATCAAAATGCGCATGACAATCGCATTCGATTAATCGTGCAGCCCTACGTGTAACACTGAATATTACAATTTTAAGAAAATCTAGAACTTCTGCCAAAACCCAAAACAAAACTGGTCTCTACCTGAGGGCCTCCGATGACAAAGCGTCCACTCGGCTGTAAGTGATAAATGGTATCGTCGTCCAGATAAACAGAGGGCACCACAGCTTTGATGATTTTATCTTTAAGTGCATCACGCATCTCATCAAGGCAGATGTCTTCATCGTGCTGCACAGAGATGACAATGGTGTGGACGCGCACCGGCAGCATGGCGCCACACTCCTGTCTGTACTGCACAGTAACCTGTTTTCAAAGCACAGAGTCATGTTGCACTGTCAGGAAACGCAGTCTACACAAGAACCTGCATGCAAACACTCCTAGCTACGTGAGCTCAATTTCACACGTTTTTGTGTTTCTAAATGCTGTCCAGCAGACCTGAGTCTTAGAGTCGGGCCGGAGCCAGGGCAGGGTGCCGCTGCGGCGCAGTTCGGCCATCTTGGCGTTAAGTTTGTGTGCGAGCACAATAGTGAGAGGCATGCATTCCTCTGTCTCATCTGTGGCATAACCGAACATCAGACCCTGAACCAAGCACAAAGCATAAAATATTAATACTAAAATGTTATTAAAAGAGTTTCATTTACAGTTTTTGAACAGCACTGATTTACCTGGTCGCCGGCCCCAACATCCTCTTCATTGCGGTCCAAATGAACACCCTGGGCAATGTCTGGAGACTGCTGCTCCAGAGCCACCAGGACATTACAGGTCTTATAATCAAACCCTACGGGTTCAGAAGAGAGAATTTGGAACAGATTATGGGCCATTCAGCTTCCTATTTAAATGACATTTTTAGTTTAATTGTTTTTTAGCTGTAGTAGTAAAATCTCCACACATCCATTTATACGTGTGTTCAAAAGTTTGGGGTCATTAAATTTTTTGAAAGAAATAATTACTTTTATTCAGGACAGGTGAATTACAAAAAACCAAAAGTGACAGTAAAGACTTTTATAATGTTTATCATTTCAAATAAATGCTGTTCCTTTGAACTTTTTATCCATCAAAGAATCACAAAAAGCAAAATGCATCACAGTTTCCACCAAAGTATGAAGCAGCACAGCTGTTTTCAAAACTGATAATAATCAGACATGTTTCTTGAGCAGCAAATCAGCATATTAGAATGATTTCTGAAGATCATGTGACACTGAAGACTGGAGTAATGATGCTGAAAATTCAGCTTTGATCACAGAAATAAATTATATTTTAACATATATTCACATAGAAAACAGCTATTTTCAATTGTAGTAATATTTCACATTTACTGTATTTTTGATCAAATAAATGCAGCCTTTGTGAGCAAAACATTAAAAAAATCTCACCGAATCCAAACTTTTTTAACGGTAAACGCTGCTGTATGTATAATAAAATGCATCATCAAACCAACCCTTGGATGAGTCGTCATAGCCAATGTGTTTTATGGTGTCACGAACCACCTTTTGATAGTCAACAACAGCACGAGACGTCACCTCTCCTGCCAGCAAAATCATTCCCGTCTTGGCTACAGTTTCTAAGGGGGGGGGGAAATGGCAAAACATTCATATTCATGATTCTGGGAGGACATCAAATCTGAAAGGACACATGCAAAATATTTCAGCAAATCCCCAGAAATCAAAGTCAACATACCGCAAGCCACTTTTGCCTCTGGGTCTTGCTTCAGGTGAGCGTCCAACACAGCGTCACTTATCTGGTCACATATCTTATCTGTACAATGAAAATAGTAATTAGTGCTCCTATATATGTTTGTCAAAACCCACACTGCATTTGCTTGTTTTCCCATCAGCTGGGCTTGAGAATTAGGCAAATGCACTGAGCTTATAAATTGTTTCCTATGGGCTTTATTCCTATGTACATGCATTTGAAATTGTACTACCTCTGTATGACATATATGCCTGATGTGGCATATGTTCTTTAACATTTATTTATACACAAATAATAAACGTTTCTTATTAAAAAAAAAACAAATAAATAAAAAACTATGTGCAGTTGTCAAGTTATAAAAATGAATTTAAAAGAAGTATTCCATCTGTTGTGTTTATGGTTCACATTTAAAGGACTAGTATTTGAAGAATAAATTATGACTTTTCATCATGTTCTCAATTTTATTTTATTTTTGTTTGTTTGTTTGTTTGTTTATTAATATTTAATTAATATTTAAATGTTTGTTTTTGCAGATCTATACATTTTGATGCAATAATATTTAACATTTTCTATGCTATTCTGTATTTTAAGGTGCAATTGTGCTAAAGACCCGCATCCATAAACAACGCAAAGCATAGGCTTTTTGAGTCCCTGCTAGCGATTCCGAAAAATCACTTCCTTCTACTGTTCAACTATTAATTACCACAACTGAAACTAAAAAAATATATAAAAATGTGCCCAAAAACTAAAATGCAAGGCAAATAAATTAATTTTAAAGTATCTTATTAGCGTGACTTTCATTGAACTTTTTTTTTCTCCTGGAGGAGCCTTTTCTGCAGATCAAACGCGGCGGCGTTCTGACTCAGGGCGCGGTGGGCGGAGTCTGCGCTCAGACTGCATGTTTGATCCCACGTGTAGCGCGAGGCTGCGTCTCAAAACCTGCTGATCTGCCTACCTACACTACCTTTTTGGCCATCAGAAGTGTTTGCATTGTCAGCTGAGATGAGTGTGCAACTGTGCATGTATCTGAGATCAGCTGCACGCGACTACAGCGCTCAGAATGCTGTCTAGGCCGCTCACTAGTTTTCGGCACACAGCCATAGAAACGAAATACAATCGTTTTCAAATCCACAGCGCATCATGGAGAAATCTGAGCATTGAGCTATATTTATTTAAACGCTTCCAAACAAAAGCAAATACAAAATAAATATGGTTACAAGTAAAATAAGCTATTGGAATAATAATGCAACAGTACAGTGCGTTACTACAATACAGGTACTGTTATGTAACAGCGAAGCTGAATAGCCTACTGTAAAGTCACCCAAATTTTATTTTTGGACATTTTACCTGGATGCCCCTCTCCAACGGACTCCGACGTAAACAAGAAGCAGTCCCCCTCAATAAGAGAGTTGTAGAAACTGTTAATATCTCCGTTCATCATTTTTAGTTTCTCTTTTGCAGTACTACAATACACTTGTTTGGGAATCGCAGGAAAAGTGTCTCCCCTCCGCGGAGCGCGAGAGTATTTATGGAGCGGCCCGCCTCGCGTCATGAGGGGCCCGCACTCATTCGTCCTCTCGGGCGACAGGACGAAACCACGTGTGGAGGGGGGTTTGGCACAGAAATCTGTGGGGCAGTATGGTAATATGTCAAGATGACGAAAACTTGCATGGGATTGCATCGTCTGCCAAGTCCACAAACACACACACACACACACACACACACACACACACTTGCGCAACGTGCTGTTTTAACAAACACCTGAAAACATAATTAACAAGGTACGAATTTACTCACTCACACACAGGGCCGTTTCTAGGCATAGGAGAGCTAGGCGGTCGCCTAGGGCGCCACCAGCTGAAGGGGCGCCAATGAGCGCACGTACTGGCACTTTTCGCAGGGTTGTGATAAAGAGTGGCACGGTCACCCTGAAATATGACTGCCGCTCCCACTGGATCCCCCAACATTATTGGGCCTCACACACACTCACACACACACACACACACTCACACACACTCACTCACACATCACACACTCACTCTCACACACACACACACCACACACACACTCTCACACACACACACACACACACACACACACACACACACACAAAAAATACTAAACTAACAAACAAAAAACATAGCGTGGTAAAATCAAGTTTTTAATAATGCACTTTCTTGATCATATTATAAAATATCATAACATAAATATTAAATCTATATGAACACACTCTTGTGCAATTAATAACGAAGACTTAAAAACATAATCACTACTTGTTGTGGTTTTACAAACACTTACTATAATATACAGTACTATATTAATAAAAAAAATAATAGTCTGATTACAATGTTTTTGGACATGTACCATGGGAATTTTATTCTTTGAAGTTCATTGGAGTGTCATGCCTAATCAACATGAATATGAAATCCCTGTAAACGTAACTCTTGTGCAACAATAAAGACTTAATAACATCATTAACCATTACTTGTTATGTTTTATGCACACTGTAAAGACTACTGCATTAACAAAATGTACAAATGACCATGTTTTTGGACTTTACTCTTTGAAGAACATTGGAGTGCCATGTAAACGACATGGCATATGGATATGAAATCTCCTGTGCAACCTGTGGTGAAAAATAAACCCCATAATTAGTTACAATTTTACACACAATATAGGCGTGATGGACTAATAGGTTACTACAAAAAAGTATCAGAATGCACCATAATAAAGTTTCTTTTTGTTTCAGAGTACCATATGTTATTATTTGACCTTGGAGTATCATGTAAATGTCATTGTATATGAACTTGAAATCCAGGTGAACACACAGACTTGCGCAACTTCTGGTGATAACAATGTACACTTAAAAACACGATTAACCATAATGTTGGCTTCAGCGGAAACCAAAATACAATTACAAGAGATAAAATGGATGCCTTGGAGGTTTGTCCAGCTTTAGCTCCTTATCGGCTGTCCTGATGTGATTTGAAGAAAGGTAGATTGTATGTCTGCTTCTTACTTAAGCATTGTCTCTTTTATCAAAATGGCCAAGAGGAGGACGAGCGATGTCAATTTCTGCCCATTATGTCTCAGCTCTGAAAAAGGACACGTAACTGAAGCACAGTGACAGTTCGCTAAAGCACTGATGTTGCCATCCCTGAACATTCGCTTGTCATGTCCTCTAAAATGAGATTCATAACCACTCATCTCATCAGTTTCTGGACCTTTTGTACCTTGAAAGAATAGTTCATTCAAAAACCAAGAAATGACATCTGTGTCAGAAAAAAAAAAATTATTTGGAAAAAAACGAATACTTTTATTTAGCAAGGATGCATTAAATTGATCAAAAGTGACAGTAAAGACTTTTATAATAAAAGCTGTGCTTTTGAATTTTCTATTCATCAAAGAATCCTGAAAAAAATGCATCACGGTTTCCACAAAAATATGAAGCAGCACAACTGTTTTCAACATTGATAATAATCAGAAATGTTTCTTGAGCAGCAGATATTAGAATGATTTCTGAAGATCATGTGACTGAAGACTAGATAAATTATGCTGAAAATACAGCTTTGATTACAGAAATAAATTACAGTTTAACAGATATTCACAAAATAAAACATCATTTTAAATTATAATAATATTTTCACAATATCACTGTTTTTACTGAATTTTTAAGTTAACAAATGCAGCCTTGGTGAGCATAAAAGACTTATTTCAAAAACATTAAAAAATCTTGTGTGTGAACAAAATTAGATATTTTGAAGAATGTTAATGCACATCTTTTCCAATTCATGAAAGTTAGTTACCATAAAAGGGGGAAAAGTCAGTAGTCCACATGACTTTTGTGTTATGTTCAAAATCTTTTGAAGCCACACAAAAATGAACTGAAATCAATATTGAAAAAGTTGAGGATGAGTATACACGTTGATTTTTCAAAATTATCATTTTTTAATGAATTATTATAAACCAATAGCCATGTTTAGCTACAAAACTAAAAGGCAGGTCATGACACCCCACGCGTGTTCCTCATCCGACACCTGATATACCAAAGTGCAATGGTTATGTCATTAATAGTTACATAGTCCATTCACTATATTGCTGTTTAGAGGATAATAATACAGGTTACCATAATCACCTAGAGATAAAATAGAATTTCATTCAAAACTACCATGATGAAATTAATTGAACTTTGTAATTTGAATAATAATATATTGTTATTGCAGTAATGTGTGAGATTAATAGAATTCCAGCAGGCTTTATTTTCTTTATTGTTTATTATTTATATCTTTGTTTTGGGGTGAAATATGACCCAGAATATTCTTGAAATTCACACAGGTCTGGGATTTGAGAATTAGCTTCAAATCATTGTAGAGTGATTGACATAGAGCAACATTTTAAGACAAAGTTAACTTTTTCTGCATCACCAATATTCATAGATTCTCCCTCAGCAATCCACCGCTCTTATCTGTTCCCGACAGTAGTAACATCTCTGATGAATCAGACTTTATGTGAAGATTGTAGCAGCACAGACACACGACACACATTTTACTTTGGAAATCTGTTGTGTCATATTGGAGCAGTAATTCAGACTCAAATGCAATCTTAAATTGATGATGACTCAGTTTTTTTTATTCAATATGACTCATGAAAAGACAGATTTACAAACCAGACTGTGTGTGTGTGTGTGTGTGTGTGTGCGTGTGTGTGTGTGTGTGTGTGTGTGTGTGTGTGTGTGTGTACGTGTTTTTCTATTCTGGTGGGGACTTAAACCTGAATATGAATACACACAGACTCATGGGGACTCGTGTCACGGTGGGGACCTAAATTGTGGTCCCCAGGGGTACAAAAGCTTATAAATTTTTTTAAGTTTTTTGAAAATCTAAAAATGCAGAAAGTTTCCTGTGAGGGGTAGGTTTAGGGGTAGGGTTGGTGTAGGGCAATAGAATATACGGTCTGTACAGTAGAAAAACCATTACGCCTATGGAGAGTCCCCACAAGGATAGCTGACCAGACTGTGTGTGTGTGTGTGTGTGTGTGTGTCCTTGACACGGTCAGGATGAGACAGCAGTTTCTAGACACAAATCTCTCACACAATGGCACTGCTTAATACCACACCTCTCAATCCAGCCAAGTGTTGCATCAGAAACAGGTGACAAACACTGATATAATCACACACTTGTACTGCATATACAGACGTTTCCGTGATGACAGTTCAGGTTGTTTTTCTTATCAATCTCCCTGTGAATTAGCATTACATAGCACAGAGGGAAGTTTTCTTGTTATATGAGGCAGACCCTGTTATTCAACACTGATGATTGACAGTAGCTCAATGACAAGTCTTGTCTTGTGAATTGGATGATGTTGTTTCATTCACAATGTGTTGTTTTACAGAGAATGGTCAGAAAAAGAGAACATATCCAGTTCAGTGGGTGAAAATGCCTTGTTGATGCCAGGTTTGAGCTAAACACGAACGTGAACAAATCAGGCTTCAGTATCAGACTATCAGGAGTTTACGAGTGTGTTTATGGTGCATGATCTCAAGACTCCGTCGCTATGGAAACAAAGTCGCTACAATATCGCACAGATGAGCTTCTCAACTTATTGTGACATTGATTTCTTTTTATTTGCTATTAGTATTCTCCACACTGCAAAATCCTTTCGTGTTTAGGCCTATGTAAAATGGGACAAATCTCATCCCGTATTGATTTGATACGGGACGCTTCATTTTACCTTTAAATACGGGACAATTCTGTATTGTATGGGACGGGTGGCAACCCTAGAAAGAAAGCAACAGTAACTCAAATAATCACTTGTTACAACCGAGGTTTGCAGGAGAGCATCTCTGAACGCACATCAAGTCGAACATTGAAGCCAATAAGTTACATCAGCAGAAGACCACACTGAGTGCCACTCCTGTCAGCTAAGAACAGGCTACAATTCACACGGATCACCCAAACTGGACAACAGAAGACTGGAAAAGTGTGCCTGGTGTGATGAGTCTCGATTTCTGCTTCGACATTCGGACGGTAGAGTCAGAATTTGGCATGAACAACATGAAAGCGTGTATCCATCCTGCCTTGTATCAACAGTTCAGGCTGCTGGTGGTGTAATGGTGTGGGGGATATTTTAATGGCACACTTAGTACAAATTGAGCATAGTTTAAAAAAATTGTTGCAGACCACGTCCATCCCTTTATGAACACAGTGTACCCATCTTGTAATGGCTATTTCCAGCAGGATAACGCACCATGTCACAAATCTTAAATCATCTCAAACTGGTTTCTTGAACATGACGATGAGTTCACTATATTCAAATGGCCTCCAATAGTCACCAGGAGCCAGGTGCATAAACATAGCCACTATAGTTCACCCAAAAATTAAAATTAGCTTGTGTTTTACTTT